TGTGGAGCTAAACTTCACGTTCTAGGGTTGTGGTTCTTTCATGACTATTGTTATTCGGATATTGATTTTGATTTCTTAGTTTATCATATTGGTTTATTTATTCAATCCTGCACTTAATTATTTGATTGCTTGATCACCAATTGAATACTATCTAAGAATCTTGAATTGAACTCGAAAGTAGGAATTCTAGATTGCATATAGGATTGAGTAGAGCAAGTTCTTGAACCTGGGCCTCGGGGAACGGATTCGCGGTTAGGATAGACATATACCTAATTGCCTTGCTTGGTTGATTTACAGGAATTATAAATGCGTTCTTATTGATTCTAATTCCATAGACATATAGGAGTTAGGTTAGCTTGAATAGGCGAGTAAGAACTCGACAGATTCTTATGAGCAATATTAACCCTGTCAACCAATAAACTAGATAAATTAGTTAGTCAATTCAATTGAAGAATACAATAGGAATGTTAGATAGCCCATAACCCTGGATCGTTTTCATTACATTGATATCATAAAAATCTGCTCGTTTCCTCTGTTTAAAGTTCATTATTTGTTTTTATTTAGTATAATTAGTTTAAAATCAAATACTTCTTGGTTTAATTCTTGTATAGATAATTAGGATAGTCTAATTTAGTTAATAGTTGATCATAAGTCCTCGTGGGTTCGACATCCGACTTTTAGTCACTTTATTACTTGACGACCACGTATACTTGCGTGTGCGTTTGGCCGCAACAGGAATCGGCCAATTTTCTTTTCCTTAAGAGGATCTAATTCTCTAACCTACACACATACTTTTTCCTAATAAAAGAGATAGAAAAAAAAATCTACGACAAGAGTAAAGAAAGCAAACTCAAATTGCAAGACTATAGTAGCTAAAGCTTGAGAAAGTAAACTTTTAGTTTTTTTTTTGTTCATTTTTTTCGTATAAACAGGTAAATAAACTTTCAGTTCCGAAATAAATATATAAAAAAGCATAAATTTAGCAAATTATTTTCAGATTGTTGTCTAGTGTTGTTTTACTATAATCGACTTATCATTAGCTTACTAGGAACCGAAAAACCGAACCAAACCGAACCAAACCAACAACAACCAAACCGATGGTTTGTATGTAATTTGGTTTGGTTTTGGTTTTAAAATTTTAAAAACCGATTAAATTGATTTGGTTTTGGTTTTAATCAAAAACCGGCCAAACCGAACCGTGAACACCCCTACCAAACACAAACAGAGGGCATAATTGTTCTATTTTCAATAGTTCAGGGGCATGACCATTTTCCATATAAAATAATATATTTTTGCTGAGTTGAAAATCCATGTTTGAGAAAAAGTCTTCTCTGTAAAAAAAAAAAAAAAAAAAGGGAAAGGAATGTCGTGCCATATCTATTGTGTAGTAATTACTACGATGACGAGAGATCTCACCGGAAAATCCCTCCGGCCAGCTGATCACAACTTATTATTTTCTTACTAGATCAAATTCGTGTGATTTGATTTTTATATTCTTTGAACTCCTAAGTCTTAGCATGTAAGATAACCAAACAATACTCTGTTAGAGGGACCGAATCCGGATCTACCCAAAGGATACAATGCCATTGTTCATCATTGATGTATCCGTAATAAAATGACCTTTTACATTGTAATATCAATTCTTAATGCGAAATCTTATTATTAGAGTACCAAGTTATTAATAGTGAAAAATTTTCGTTTCGTCTTCCTACTTTTAATTTGCAATCGCATATCGATACATCCATAAGTTACTATCACAAATTTCATTTTTACATTTCTCTGATGTGGGTATTTGGGTACAAAACTGTGCCCTCCTTTTGTACCCAAATGCAGACGAAGGACATAATTGCTCTATTTTTAATAGTGTAGGGCCATATTCGGACCTTTTCAACTCAGCAAAAAAAGTATTATTTTATACGGAAAAAGGTCAAATATATCTCTGAACTATTGAAAATAGAGCAATTATACCCTCCGTTTACGTT